TGTTGTCGAAAGCATATTACGAATGTGAGGGACTTAAAGACCAAATCGAATGAAATATATATGGGAGCTATTGCTATTGCTATATCACCAAATTTTAAGTATTGCTCCTAGGCCAATGTGCCAAAATTAGGATCATTTGGACTGGTATTGGCCATTTGGTGCACAATTAACCCGAAATCGTTTGAAGATATATATATATATATATATATATATATATATATATATATATATATATATATATATATATATATATATATATATATATATATATATATATATATATATATATATATATATATATATATATATATATATATATATATATATATATATATATATATATATATATATATATATATATGGGAGCTATAAGGTACATTTAATTTGTCGTTTCACCTTGAAATATTTGTCGGATACCCCAAAGAGTATATATATATTCCTGATCAGAATACAATTTTAAAGCGACTCAGCGATGCCCATGTGTCCGTCTGTTGAAATCACGAATAGTTCACATTATTTAATCTTTGACATATGGCACAAAGGTTTAAATTATATGCAGACTGATTAGTATTGAAAACGGGCTATATTGGTCCACGTTTTAATATAGCCCCCATATAACTGTGCCTCCCGTTTTTCGGTTTTTTTGAATGTTTCTGACACAATTTCCAACCAAATTAGATGAAACTTGACAATTAGTGTCTCATTATGGATTTTCTCTCCTTGCAAGAAATGTTCCATTCAGGTCCACAAATTGGTGTAGCCCTCATATAACGGTACCGGCCGAATTTCGGCATTTAGAATGTTTCTGCCACAATTTCCAACAAAATCAGAAAAAAAGGTCGATTCAGGCCTACTGATGGGACTTAAGCAATCGTCCTTTTAAAACAATTCTTAAAGGTCTTAAAAAATATTCCTCCATCCACATTTCCGGGAAATATCCATAAATATGGGTTTTTTAACCACTAGAGCCAACGTGGACATTCAATGAGCATCATTTGAAAAACATAAAAACAGTTCTTTGAAGAAGGCTCCTATTGATTCAAAGTTTGTTATCGTGGAAAAAATCCACGATTCTGGTTCAGATAGTCCTTTAACAAATATTTGTTTTTAATGTCCACATTTCGGGCTATGATGGGTCTTCAACAAATATTCAAAAAATGCCAATTTAAGACGCAGATGGTCCTTAAAATATCAACAATTGAGGCTCAAGTTGTCCTTGATGTTTGATTGACGTTCCACGTTTAATCCCTGAAATATTAGAAAAATCACATTTAGAACTCAGGCATTAAATATTTTAATTCAAAAAAGCCTCTTAGAGTCCTCCAGAAAAAATTATGAATGTTTCGCTTCAGGCTCTAAAAGACATCGAAACATGATTGATTTACGTTTTGGCACAGATTGTCCTTCAAAAAATCCAAAAGTCTACCCTTGACAGTACCTCAAAAATTGTTCTTAAAGTCCACGTTCAGTGTCCTTTTAGTCCTTGAAAACATATTCTTTGTAAATCATATTTTGATGATATGGTGACCCTTGAAAACATATTCATAAAAGGTCCATGTTTGTTGTATGTTGGTCCTTGAAGAAATGTTCTTAAAAAGTCCACGTTTTTATGGTCTGTTGGTAATTAAAAAATATATTCATAACAAGTAAGCAAAGTCTACAGTCGAGCGGGGCCGACCGTTGAATACCCTACAACACTATAATAAACCATACAGTTTATATAGGCGAAATACTCGGCAGAATTCCACAAGATATTTTGACAAATAATTAAAGAAAACCATCAGGTTTCGTTCTCTAATTTTCGAATAATAGCAACTTAAACGAATTTGCTTATTTCCAATTTATTGTTAGATATTGCACGTAAATAGTCTTCCTAGATCTGGAACCAATATTTCCCAAGGACCTATAATCTCTCAGAAGTGGCAAAAGATTAACATTTATTATTGGTATTTGACTGAAACGCATCTATATGAGATACAGACACTTGACTATATTCTTCAACGAAATCAGCGTTAAAGAAATAGTCGGAAGTGCGTCTTTCCTGTATTTGTGAATTCTCCAAAAAAGTCTCTGGAATGGACATCGGGCGATAACTACGACCTGCTGACAATTTTGCAGTTTTTTGGTCCATTTCAACCCCTAAATATATGGCGATCATTTCCAAAAAGAGTAGGCTTCTATTCTGATCCTCATCTTATCCCCATGCAAAATTTCGTAAGGATCGGGCCATAATTGAGAGCTCTATATGATATCCTGATATCCTAACTACTTAGTTTTGTTAGCTGTAGAAATATTACAAAATGTTTAATTCAAAATGAAAATATGCCAAAAATATGACAAAATTGAAAAAATATGAGAAAATTTTACAAAACCAATATTTTCATCTTTAGAGAGATATTTTTATGCGATTTTTTAGACGTTTTTTCTTTCCTGCCAAGAGGCCATTCTGAATTAATGAGAACTGTCGAAATCAGTTCAGCCGTTCTCGACATATAAGAGATCTTTCAAGCATATCTTCTTTGATAAACATATATATCGCACATATTTTTCTATATATCCGTTTTGTTGGATGTTAACATCAATGTAAAGGTCAGAAGTAACCTTTTCATGGCTTTGTGATTTCGCCGGGATTTAAAATATTCGCGGTTTAATGAAAAATTTTGAATTTTTTCAACACAAAATATATAGTCTATTTTATCCGCTAAATATTATCCGATGACCACCCAAATTGGTAGGCTTCTTCCCCGCCCTAAACTCTAGATTCATGCGAAATTCCGCGTCGATTGGTCTATAATTGCGACCTGTATAGCTACTGCAAAATCCGACATTTTTTCAGTATTTGGTCCATTTCAACCCCTAAACATTTGGCGATCATCTCAAAAAGAAATAGGGTTCTATTCTGGCCCAACCCCGACCTCCATTCCAAATTTCGTGAAGATCGGGCCATAATTGCGACCTGTAGAGTGATTACAAATTAACATGGACAGACGGACAGACGGACAGACGGACGGACGGACATACATAGCTAGATCGACTCAGCTCGGCGAGCTAGGATGATCCATATATACTTTCCTATGTGGGAAACCAATATTTCGTGGTGTTACATAATTTTTGGCCCAATCAAACTTATAATACCCCCAACACATAGTGTTGTAGGGTATAAAAATCCAAGTTTGATAGTCTGTTGGTCCTTAAAAAGATATTTAAATGGACCCGTTGGTCCTTGAAAACAATTAAAAAAATTCAATTTTATTAGTCTTTTCCAAAATGGTGACCAAAAAAGTTTAAAAAATCCGGATTTGATGGTCTGCTTGTCCTTGAAAAAATATACTTAAAATATCTGTGTTAAAATATTAAAAAACTAAATATTAAAAAAAAGAAAAAACCTTTGATGATCTGTTGGTCCTTGAAAATTTTTCTTTAAAAATCCAAATATTTGTTGTCTTTTGGATCTTGAAAATATATTGCTAAAAATTCAACGTTTGATAGTCTGTCCTTTGCAAAATAATTTGAAAAAATCCACTTTTGATGGTCTGTTGATCCTCGAAAATATATGCAAAAGAAGTCCACGTTTGATGGTCTGGTAGTCCATGAGAAAATATTCTTAAAAAATCCAAATTTTATCGTCTGTTGGTCTTTACGACAAACCATGTTGTCCCGTAAAAAATTCAAGTATGATAATCTTTCGTTTTTGGAAAAATATTCTTAAAAAGTCTCCGTTCAAGGCTCAGATGTTCCCTAAAAGATGATTTTAAAAAATCCGCATTTAAGGCCTTATTGGTTCTTCAAAAATATTCTTAAAAAACTCTACTTTCTTGAGCTCTGATTATCCATGAAAAAATTAAAAATCCACATTTCTGGATCTATTGGTTGTTTGTCCTAAGAAAGTAAATTAAATACAAAACGTATGTGTCTATGTTGCCACTCGAAAAAATATACTTAAGACATCCAGATTTGTTGGCTTGGTAGGTCTTTAAAAAGTATTCTTAAAACATTTTAAAAAGTCCAAGTATCTGGCTCTATTGGTCTTTGAATAATAAATTTAAAAATTCAACGTTTCCTTTTTGTTGGTCCTTAAAAAAAAAAAATTAAAATGTCCTTTTTTTGTTCACATAACCATCGGAAAACATACTTTTCACGCTTTTGGTTCAGATTGCCCTTTAAAAATACATATGAGTTTGATTACGTTTTTGACTCTGTTTGTCCACGCTTTGGTCCATTAAAATATTTCTAAAAGTCCTAGTTTGTGGCCATGATGGTCCTTGAACAAAGTTTTCTTAAAGAAATCCATATTACTGTCTCTGTTGGTCCCAGATTGTTTTTATACCCTCCACCATATAGGTCCACGTTTTGGTATAGCCCCCATATAACGGTACTTTCCGATATTCGGTATTTTGATCATTTTAGAGACATTATTCACCGAAATTGTTTCAAATTTTGGTATTTGAAGTTTGTAATAGATTCTACAGCCTAAGACAGAAAATTGTCTGTGCAGGTCCACGTCTTCGTATAGCCCACATATAACGATACCTCCCGATATTCGGTGTTTTGATTTTATCGACATTATAATCGATTTTTTTATGTTTCGTATTTGAATATTGTAATGGCTTATGTCAAATTTTACCTATACAGGTTCATATCGTCGTATAGACCCTAATATAACAGCTACATTCGTTATTTTTAAGATTTTAACAGAATTTTTAACGGATTTAATTTTTTTTTTTAACTGCCAAATTAGTTCCAAATGGTGGAGGGTATTCAAAGTTCGACCCTGCTGAACTTACATCTTTTTTACTTGTTTAATTTAATGTTAGTAAAATATATTTATCTATAGTCCTTTTAATCCTTAAAGACATTTTTTCCCTCATAAAATTCTTAAAAATCCAGGATTATTGTTTCGAAAAAAATCTATTTTTCCTTTCTCTGGAAGTCTCTTAAAACAATTGAAAAAATATTAAAATTTATTTAATAATTTTTTTTTTATTTATCTTCTTTTTTAGCGCTATTCGATGACTTTGGTGGTCTTGGTCCAATTCGTCGCCGTCATCATCCGCGTGGCACAAAACGTGGTCGACCACGAGGCAGCACTCGACGTGGCGGAGGAAATGGTACAGCATTGACAAGGCCCGCATCAGCGACTGGATTAAATGCAGAGGGTAAGTTGTTTAACCGCACTTCATTGTCTATATACATGAGGAAAAGAATATTTAAAATCATCCTCCCCTTGACGTTTTCCATAGAAGAATACGATTAGGGTTTAAGGCTTACTTCCGTTTTTAGAACCTTTCAAAAATTGTTAATCTTTTGTATTAAAACTCCGGCGATTAACCACAATCAACACTTCAAACTGTTTCGATCAAAAATTTAAAGAGATACTTGAAACAATTTGATTGTTTTAATTTCATCTTCCCTCCCCCGAGATTGGGAACGATTACCCCACAAGAAAAAAAAAAAAAAAAAAACAAAAAAAAAAATCAACTTAACCCTCATTTTCGATTCGGTATACATTGCCTGCGTCTTTTGAGAGTGTTGATCTTTTCGCGTTTTGTGTTTTATGGCTTGGTACGTGTTATGGTATTTCTTAAAAATAATGTTGCAGGAAATCATATTTCGGGCTAAGCATCCCCCTTTTCTTTTATGTTTTGTCTAACATCCCTCCCCCAATTAAAATAAGTGGCTCTTTAAAGATGAATTGTTAATGATACCACGGAAGTCAGTAAATTTTTTTTTGTTATTATATGCGCATTTTCAAAATGATTTATCTGATTGACTTTGATATCACAATAGGAATTTATGTTTTTTAAGACTTTTGTGGAGATAATATTATTTAGGCATAGAAAAAATATCTGTTGGAGGTGACATTGGCATATTCTGCGACTTCGAACTTTTTTAGGTCTTAAATCAAAAAATTCTGACAACTCAATATTTTCCTTTAAATATGTTTTTTGTTCGGAGATTATTTTGGAATTCCTGGCCATTCTCTTTAAATGTTGCCTTACAACATCGTAATTTTTTTTCTTAACCAAACTTAAAATCAAGTCATATTTGAATGGTCAATAAATACAGGGTAAATGAAAAAACTGCAACCAACTTCAGACTGCCGTCATTTCTAAGCCACTCGTCCGACAGCTGTTAAAATTATTCCAGTGACAGCTCAATACATTGTTTACAAGCGTAAAAAATTATTTTGGTGACAATTTTCCAGAAAAAAAGTTATTCGTGATGGAATTCAAGCCGGATAGTGTGATTTCTTTATATTTGGCTGGAAAATCACAGGTGGCTATCGTTAGAGCACTCCAGCATTTAAATGTGAATAAATCTTTTGTGTTTCATACCATCGCTCTTTACCGTGATACTGGTAGCGTAGCCCGACATCAAGAAAGGGGACGAAAAACAAAAAAAAACAGCAACATCAGCAGAAATGGTTCGAAAAGTAAAGAAGCGACTTGATCAAAACCTGGGCCGCAGTAGAAGAAAAGTGCCTCGCGAGCTGAACATATCGCAATATTCCATTCGGCAAATATTGAAAAATGAGCTCGGGGTAAAGTCATTGAAATTCCAAGAAGTGCAAGAACTTACACCGCAACAGAAAGAAAATAGACTCAAAAGAGCTAAAGAGTTGCTCCGCTTGGCCGAAAGTGGTGAACTGCCGAATTTGGTTTGCCAGACCTCAAGTGCCGTCCATGGTGATGGTGTGGGCCGCCATAACAGCCGAAGGTCGCTCTTCGTTCGTATTAAACGACCGTGGCATCAGAATAAATGCCGAATATTATCGCGAAAATATTCTGGAGGGTCATTTAAAGCCTTGGGCACGCAAACAATTTGGCCGCAGACCTTGGATAATTCAACAGGACTCAGCACCATCACAATGAGGTTCCTCGCTTCATTTCCAGCGCACAATGGCCACCAAAATCTCCGGATACTAGTTGTTGGACTATTGTGTCTGCAGTATTTTGGAAAGCAAGGTTGGCACTAAAAAATACCAAAGTGTCGATCACCTCAAGTAATCGCTTCACCGGGAATGGGCCAAAATACCGTAGAGCAACATTCAGGCATCGTGTGACGGTTTCATTGGCAGTTTTAAGGCCATAATTCATGTCATAGGTGACCAATTCGAACAAATCAAAACTTATTTTAAATTTTGATGCTATTTCCGATATTTTTTGCTTTCATTCAATAAAATTAAAAAAAAATGTAAAAATTATGGCGTTTGACTTTGTTGCAGTTTTTTTTATCTCACCCTGTATTCTCAATACGTATTGCAAGTGTAGAAAAATCTCAAAACTATGGTATATTGTGCCAACATCTTGTCTTTGTTCACCAACCAACACAATTAGTAATTGCCTCTGTTGCTTTTTTTTCCAACCCAATCCAAACCACTTTTAAGGATTATACAAAACGTCGATAAAAATTACTTTGATCTGCCACAAACATAAAGCATTTTTGTCAACCCGAATTTTCATTTAAATTGAGTTTTTCGTTGAAAATTTAAACACGTATTTTTCGAATGGATTTTCTTGTTTGCAGATTACTATTAATTGCATAAATCGGATTTAAATCGATTTAAAAAACACAACAACAACAACGCCAACATTTGTTATGTCGCGTCATTTATTTGTTGTTGCAATGACAGATGTTTGTTTGATGTGGCGCTTTTTTGTTGTGTGTCTACTATTTTGAAAAAACCATTAAAATTGGTTTTGAATGTGTATGGTTGGTCAATACCACCACCAGTGATAGATTCATTACTGGAATTGATGCAGTGGTCGCACTTGTTGTTATTCAGTAGACATTGGTATCCATGGTATTTAATTTTTAAATAGGTTGATTATCATAAAATAAATTTTGAAGAAACGATTATTATCCTGGGAGTCTTTGAGAAATGTACTCAAAAGATCCATGATTATTGCCTTAGGAGTCCTTAAAAAAATAATCTTAAAATCCAAAGGGTTAATGCCTTAGAAGTCCTTGCAAAATTATTCTTGTAATGATGCACTCTAATTGCCTTGGATTGTTTTTTTTTAATCTAATTTCGGTTTTTTAGGAATTTATTTGTAAATGTTTCAGAAATTCCTTGGGGGTCATTGAAGGAAATTTCTTAAATTCTAGTATTATTGTTTTCTTAAAAAAAGTTAAATTTACAGCTTAGCTCCTTGAAAACATGATTACTATAAAAAACACGAATTTTGAATTGGGAATCCTCGAAAATATATTTTTTAAAAAACCTAGTTTTTGCCATAAGAATATTTCAAATTTAAAAAAATCAATTTTAAAATATTATTCAAAAAAATCCACGTTTTTTGGCTCCGATGGTTCTTTAGAAAAATATTCCATGGTCTTGGCTGTGATGGTCCTAAAAATATTCCATAAAATCCACGTTTGTTACTCTTGTAGTTCTTGACAAAATTTTCTGATAAAATCGAAGTTTTTAAAATCCCGTGTTTGCATTCATAAAGTGTATAAAAATATATTTTTTAAAATTTATGTATCATTGAAAGTCTTAAAAAATGTGTTATTTAAATATCCACGTTTATAGGTTTTGGAAGTCCTTGTAAAATTATCCCTAACAAAGCCACGTATATAGCGTTGATAATCTCCGAGCACTATAATATAAACATCCCCGTTTTATTGTATGGCTTAGAAAGTCCATAATCAAGGTTTCGTGTTCCAAGATCCTTAAAAAAATATTTCAAAGCTCTGTGTATCTGCAACATACTCTTATTTGGATATCCCTCAAAGAATATTCTTAAAAAGTCCATCTTTTTGAAGGTTCTTACTTTTTTTTTTTTTTTTGAATTTTATGAACTATTCTTAAGATATTCCAGGTTTCCGGCTTTGGTGGGCCTGAAAAAAAAATCTGGCTTAAAGGCCTTTAAACATATATTCTTTAAATTCCTTTAAAAATATTATTAAAATCTAAGTTTTCCGCTCTCTCTCTGGCCCTTGAAAGAAATATTCTTATAACTCCAGTTGGTAGTTTTGAAGATCGTTAAAAATATTCATAAAAATCCCATTTCTGGTTCCGAGAGATTTAAAAATTGGCTCTTAACTATTCCTAAAAAATCAGGTGCTTTGAAGGTCTTTTAGAAAACATTCTTAAAGACCTGTGTTTCTGAGTTTAAAAAGCTTCTAACAATATTCTTTAAAATGAATCGAAGTTCCTGGCATTTATGGTCCTTAAAAATTTGTTCTCATAAATTATAAGTGTTTGGTTTGAAGAACTTTGAAAAAATATTTCCTTAAAAAATCCACCTGTTTACTTTTGAAGGCCTTTCACATTATATTCTTGAAATTTCGGTTTCTTAGTTGTTGAGGTCCTTAAGAAATATTCTTATAGGTGAACGTTAATATTTTTGAAAATCCTTTACTAATTTTAAAACAGTAGGGTTCTTGTTCAGATTGGCCGTTAAAAATTTTGGTTTGAGAAATCTAAGTTTATGGCACTGTGAGTCCTTGATAAAAGTCCTCAAAAATTTATTTTCAAAATCCACGTTTCAGGGTTTCTGGTCCCTAATAAAAACATTAAAAATATACCTTAAAATTCCACGTTCTGAGAGACCTAGAAAAAAGTCATTAATATATTCATTAAAAAAACGCTTCTGGAGTCCTTGCAAGAATAATATTTTAAAAACCGCGTTTCTTCAATAATAAACGTCTCAGGTTTTAAAGGTCCATTTATTCTTCAAATGTTTTAAAGGGTTCTTCTAAAATTTTCTAAAAATTATGAGTTTCTGCTTTCTAAGATCCTTGAATATAAATATATAAAAATATTATTGTAGTATTGAAAGTTTGTAGAATTGAAAGTCATTAAAAGTATTTAGAAAAAATCACGTTTCTTGTTTCGGGAGGCTTTTAAAAATAGATTCCCCAAAAATCCAAGTTTCTGGCTCTGAGAGTCTTCAAAAATAATCTTTAAAAGTATTACTTTAAAGCCCACATTTCTGGTGTGTCTCTGGAAAAATATTCTTTAAAAATCCGCGTTTCCGACTGTAAGGGTCCTTCATCAAATTGTCTTCTTTTTTGGGCTTTGAAAGTCAAACATTTGTAAAACTTCACGTGTCTAGCTTTGATGATTCTTAATTTTTTTTTAAGACCCTCTTTTTTAAGACCCTCTGACGATCCCTAAAATGCCCTTAAAAATATTATTTAAAGACAAAAGCTTTTGACGCGGATGGCTCTTGCAAAAACCTTAAAAAATCTTTCTTAAAATCTTCCTTAAAAAATCTTTCTTGAAACAAGTTCTGAAAAATAGTTTTCAAAACTCCGGGCTTCTGGCTTTGAGGGTACTTGTAAAATGTTCTTTAAAATTACAAGTTTACAGGTCTAAGGCTCCGCAAAACTAGGTGTTTCTTAAACACATAATTTAACAGTTCTAAGACTCCTCTTAAGAGGACTTAAAAATCCACTTTTTGGCATTGAATAAAATAGTCTAAAAAATCCAAGATTATGGCGTTGATAAATATAATCTTAAAAAATATACTTAAAAATCCACATTCGTCCTTGAAAAATTATGCTCATATTAAAAGAGTATTCTTAAAAATATACTCTCTTCAAAAATCTTCTCTTTCAAAAATATTCTTATAAAATCCACATTCGTCCTTGAAGTGGCTACTTAAAAATTCACGTTTTCGATGTTGATGGTCCTTGCAAAAAGTTTCTAGTTTGAGTGCTCCAGAAAAAAAAAAAAAAACAAAAATCTTTAAAAGCGATTCCCAAAAAAATAGTAAATATACTTCTGGCACTACCACAGTATTTCACATTTTAATGGATTTACACCATTAATGAGGCGTCTCTTCATTAATGTGATTGGTTTTTTTGGTCTATGATTCAAAATAAATGCGTATGTATGTACATATGTAAATACCTCTCTAGCAAGGTGCCCTTTTCAAATAACATTTCGCATTACGATTTTTGCTAATTAGCGTAAAATCCATTATGGCTAATTTTACATATGTTCTGCATTACCATAATGGGTGTTTGATGGAGCCAGATGTTTCTTCCAAACATATCTCTGTGTGTGTGTGTGTGTGTCCAGACCACAGACGAAACGGGAAAAAAAGTTCATTTGTTTGTCAACGCCAAAACGTGATATGTTTGCAAATGATGGCATTTAATAGTGGATGGTGGTCAACAAGAATGAATTACTCACCTCAGCTCACTTGCCAATGTCACAGCCACAGTCGCAAAATACCACACACACACACAGATGGGCTATCATTGGCCAGCTAAGCCACCACTCGGACAATCAACTAATTACATTAATTACTTACCAACACTCTAGATTTTTTTGTTGTTATTATTGCAACCAAGCAAATTTGTTTACATTCATACTTACTAATGGATTCTATGTCTGTTTGTGTTTCCTTTTTTTCAGATGCAACTGGAGCAGAACCTAATGTCACCAATACCGGTGAGGGTTTGTTTACACCCACTGCTGTGCCGACACCTGTAAAACGTGGCCCCGGCCGACCACGCATTAAAACTGGCGGTCCCGTGAATCAGGGGTCCCGTGGTGCACCCCGTACCCGAAAACCAATTGGCCCCTTAGTTGTACCCCTCGGCAGCAGTCCAGCGGCCACACCTATTAATCGCAGCCCAGCCATGAGTCCAGCTCCATCACCGGCCCATTCGGAAAAGGGTACCAGCTCTACATCCTATCATCCGGCAAGTGGGGAGAGTGCAGATTAAGGAAGCTGGAGAACAAATAAAGAGATGAAAAGAGAAAGAGAGAGTGAGAGAGAGAGAGAGAGAGGGAGAAAATACCTTTTTGTATTTTAGTTCCCTTGTAGGTTAAGGCAAATTTATTTCGATTAAGGATATCCTCGTTTTAGGATAATATATATATTTCCGTTTAGAAATTATGGCGTTAAGAAAAAGTGTGTATTTGAAAATTTATTAAGGCTTACATCTTTATATTTAATTGGAATAAAATTTAATAAAAAACGGTTTTCAGAAGAAAGTTTTGATCTCTATTTGGTATCGAGAATAATAAATTGTCAGACTCTTTCAAAAAAAAACAAAAATAAATAAAAAAATAAATAAATAAATAACTATTCTGACAAATTTTCGAAGTGAGAAACAGACGAAAAAATAAACAAGTAAGCAAAGGCTACAGTCGAGCGGGGCCGACCGTTGAATACCCTACAACACTATAATAAACGATACAGTTTATATAGGCGAGATACTCGAAAGAATTCCACAAGATATTGTGACAAATAATAAAAGAAAACCATCAGGTTTCGTTCTCTAATTTTCGAATAATAGCAACTTAAACTAATTTGCTCATTTCCAATTTATTGGTAGATTTTGCACGTAAATGGTCTTTCTAGATCTGAAACCAATATTTCCCAAAGACCTATAATCTCGCAGAAGTGGCAAAAGATTAACATTTATTTTTGGTTTTTGACTGAAACGCATCTATATGAGATACAGACATTTGACAATATTCTTCAACGAAATGTCTACAAAAGTTGGCAAACTATTTCACACATTGAATATTTTTGGATGGCCATCCGAAACTGCTTGGCTTTTGCAATGTGCGGTAACCCCCATTCAAATGTGCGTGAGGATCGGGCGATAATTACGACCTGCCGACAATTTTGCAGTTTTTTGGTCCATTTCAACCCCTAAATATATGACGATCATCTCCAAAAAGAGTAGGCTTCTATTCTGACCCTCATCTTATCCCCATGCAAAATTTCATAAGGATCGGGCCATAAATGCGATCTGTATATGATATCCTGATATCCTAACTACTTAGTTTTGTTAGCTGTAGAAATATTACCAAATGTTTAATTCAAAATGAAAATATGCCAAAAATATGACAAAATTGAAAAAATATGAGAAAATGTTACAAAATCAATATTTTCAGCTTTAGAGAGATGTTTTTATGCGATTTTTTAGACGTTTTTTCTTTCCTGCCAAGAGGCCATTCTGAATTAATGAGAACTGTCGAAATCAGTTCAGCCGTTCTCGACATATAAGAGATCTTTCAAGCATATCCTCTTTGATACACATATATATCGCACATATTTTGCTATATATCCGATTTGTTGGATGTTAACATCAATGTAAAGATCAGAAGTAACCTTGTCATGGCTTTGTGATTTTGCCGGTATTTAAAATAGTCGCGGTTTAATGAAAAATTTTGAATTTTTTCAACACAAAAGATACCCGCTAAATATTATCCGATGACTTCACAAATTGGCAGGCTTCTTCCTCGCCCTAAACTCTAGCTACATGCGAAATTCCGCGTCGATTGGTCTATAATTGCGACCTGTATAGCTACTGCAAAATCCGAAATTTTTTCAGTATTTGGTCCATTTTAACCCCTAAACATTTGGCGATCATCTCCAAAAGAAATAGGCTTCTATTCTGACCCTAACCCCACCTTCGTGCAAAATTTCGTTAGGATCGGGCCATAATTGTGACCTGTAGCGTGATTACAGATTAACATGGACAGACGGACAGACGGACGGACGGACATACATAGCTGGATTGACTCAGCTCGGCGAGCTAGGAAGATCCATATATACTTTCCTATGTGGGAAACCAATATTTCGCCGTGTTACATAATTTTTGGCCCAATCAAACTTATAATACCCCCAACACATAGTGTTGTAGGGTATAAAAATTCCCCAAAATGATTTCGAAATAGCAAATACTAAAATATATGAACTAAACGTGCTCACTTTATAATTCATGAATATTCCATATAATTATATCACATCAAATATGAAATATGAGAAAGCTCAGCGGGTAACGCTAAAATTATTTTTTGGCCAAAAACCGTGGATTTTATGAAAATTATTCTACAATTTTTTTTTACAATGGTACAAGATCACAATTTGGTTGTCCCTGAAAAAATTAATTTAAAAAAAGATGATTATAGAGTTGGTAGTCCATGAAACCTTGGGAGTTCTTAAAAATGCTTTAAAATTACGTTTTTTGTAAAATCCGCTACTACTAGCCACCATATTTTTTTTTAAATAATAATAATGGTGACCCTTTGTGGATGAGCTACCAGAAAGGGTTCGCAGATATATATCATCTTCACAACATATCTTGTGTTAGCAAAAATGTTTGTATGTGTGAAATTTGAAGAGATTCAGATGGTTATTGCGCCTCATTTGAGCATTTTGTTTTCAAAATCTTGAACCCCATGTGGTGAAGGCACCAGAAGATATGGTCCGATCTCTGCTATCTTTATAGCAGATGGTGTGTTGATGGAAATATTGAGAGGTACCAAGTTTGAATGAAATCGATTGTTAATTTCGCGTTTTATGAGTTTCAGGGTATTACAAATTTTGACACTTTGTGGGGGAGGTACCAGAAGGAATGGACCGATACATCCCATCTTCACAGCAGATCTTGTGTTAGTAGTAATAATGCCATATGTAAACTGGATGCTTATTTCGGATTTTATAATTGTTTTGGTTATTCAAAATTTTGCCCCTTTGTGGGGGAGGTACCAGAAAGAATGGTCCAATCTCTACCATCTTTATAGAAATCTTGATACAAATGATGAGTTGCGCTACGTCTAAAAGAAATTGGATATTAATTTCACGTTTTATGAGATATTTCACATATTTCTACTAAAACAAGATCTGCTGTGAAGATGGAATATATCGGCTCACTTCTTCTGGTACCTCCCCCACAAAGGGTCAAATTTTTGAATATTTATGAAGCTCATAAAAAGTGAAATTAATATCCAATTTCTTTCAGACGTAGTGCAATTCATCAAACAAACAAAACACAAAACAAACAAGAACAATGAAGAGAACCGGATGCTTATTTCAGATTTTATAATCGTTTTGGTTATTTCAAATTTTGAATCTTTGTGGGGTATGTATCAGAGGGGTGGTCTGATCTCTACCGTCTTTATAACAGATATTGTGTTGATAGAAATGTTCAGATGTGCCAAGTCTGAATGGAATCGGATGATAATTTCGTTTTTTATGAGCTTCGTGGATATTCAAAATTTCGACCCTTTGTGAGGTAGGTACTAGCGGGGTGGTTCGATCTCTACAATCTTTTTAACAGTTCCGTGTTGATGGAAATATTGAGATGTACAAAGTCTGAATGGAATCGGATTTTAATTTCGTTTTCAATGAGCTTCATGGATATTCAAAATGTTCACCCCTTGTGAGGGAGGTACCAGAAGAAGTGGACCTATATATCACATTTTCACACCAGACCTTGGGTTGATAAAGATATTCTGATGTGTGTAATTTATAATAACAGTTTATAATAGATAACTGGATGTTTATTTCGGATTTTATGATCGTTCAGCTTATTCAAAACTTTGACTCTTTGTGGGAGAGGAACCAGAAGGAATTATCCGATGTCTTCCATCTTTATAACAGATTTTGTGCTTACTGAAATATTGAGATTTGCAAAGTTTTAATGGAATCGGAAGCTTATTTCGGAAGTTTTGGTTTTTCGAAATGTTGACCCTTTGTGGGGGTGGTACCATAAGGAATGGACCTATATATTGTATCTTCACACCAGACCTTAGGTCAGTAAACATATTTTGATGTGTGAAAAATGAAGGCAATAGGACACTTACATCACATTTTATTCAAAATTTTCAGTCTTTGTGGGGAGGTACTTGATGGAGTGGGCCGATATTGTCCATTTTGGACCTAGCACTGATGCAAATATTAGGAATTGCAAATTTGGAGCAAATTCGGATTACACTTTCGTCTTCTGGGCAGTAGTTTTTTTTTTTTTTTTTTTTTTTTTTTTGGGATTTACCAGAAGGGGTGGGCCGATATTGCACATCTCCGAACTCGATATAAGTTGGACAATAATATTGCGATGTACCAAGTTATCGTGCGAGCCAGTAAGCCAGACAGTCGAATGGACGGACATCTATAAATGTCCTGAAACGGATTTGGTCCAAAGAGACCTTTCGATGAGGCACGTTCTGGCCATATTAAATGATATATACCCTCTCTAGCCATATGGCTGAGGGTATAATAACACAAATAGCAAAATTTTATCATTTAATTTGGTTGGACATTTTGGCAGATCTTACCGAAAATCTGAAGGTACGTTATATGGGGGCTATACCTAAACGTATACAAATATAGCCCATTTCAATACCAATCAGCCTGCATATAATATATAAACCTTTGTGGCAATTTTCATAGCTCCAGATCAGATAATGTGGACTCCATCGGGATTTCAACAGACAGAGGCTATAGTCGTAAGCAGAGGCTATAGTCGTACCGGGCCGACCATGTGATACCCTACACCACTACAATTTGTTCGAAGTCCCCTTATGTCCAAATCCATTTTGGAAAATTTCGTTTTTGAAATAATGTCAAAAATAATGTCCCTGTCCTTAACTCTCTTCTGATGCGAAATTCAGTGTCGATTAGTTTTCAATTTTGACCTATAGAGCGACTACAAAATTAGAAAAATTTAATTTTTTTAGTCCATTTGAACCCCTAAATGTACATCATAAGAACAATAGGCTTTAATTCCGAATCTAACCCTACCCCATGCAAAATTTTGTAAAAGAAAAAATGGACGATAATTCCGGCATGCATATAATATCCTCAAAACGTAGTGTTGCGGGGTGTAAGAATTTAAAAAATTTAAAAAAAAAATCGGCCCAGCGGTTCTTGCCTTATAAGCAGAATAAATAAGATCTATTCTTTTACATATATATTGTACCTATTTTGCTATATCCGATTTTTTGGCTATCAGCATAACTTTAATGTTCAGAAGTGGCCTTTGAATTTATTTGTGATTTGGCTGGGATTAAAAATATTCGCGGTTTAGTGGAAATTTTCTTATTTCTTTACATAGAAGTTAGGGTCTATTTTA